TACTTAGGCTCGATTGATAGATGGATTTTGTTTTTAACAAGTGCAGGGGTTTGGCACATAGGAGGGGTGGTATTCATTGTATCAATCATGAAATCTGGACAGTTCACTTTTAATGTAGGAAACGCTAGAAGGCTTAGGCAACCAATTAGCATCCTAATTGAAACAGCCCTTGATAAAAATGGTTTTCAAGAAGGGTTGGGAATTGGACCCTTAGCTATAAAATTGCTTTTGACCCATTTTTCAAAACAGTGATTTAAAATAAGGCCAACTACCTGTGCGCTTGACCCTTGCCTGTCTTGACTGCTCAAGGTAGCATGAGGTGGTCTGGAACAACTGGTAAGCAGACTGACTGATATGTCCCTAGACGAATGCAAAATTCCAGAAAGCCTTAAGCAGGTTGATACTAGACCTTTATTGATGAATCCTTTAGGATAGTGGTTCCCAATTAGTTAAGTACTGTGGACCACCCCCTCCCCCCGTTTTTCAAAAGCCAAGCCATGGACCCTCTACTTTTGAAAATTTTGATATTTCTATGGTAGTTATTGTTATGTGAATGCTGCCACGGAAGCCCTGGGATCCGCAGACCACCACTTTGGAACCACTGCTTTAGGAAACAAACCACACTTTACCTGCTGCTCATTCTTTTTGTATCTTTAAAGGTTATTAGGCTTGGTTGTTCTTTGTTTTTAAGACGAAACCTTTTTTTTTTTTTAAAAAAAGATTATATTACTGTGTGTACACCAGTAATGCACATGCCCATTTGATTGAATCCCATTTGATTGAATCCCAAAGTAGTCTGTTGCTGCTAAATAAATGTTATTTGTTTAGCTATTTATTTATTTAAGCGGTGTCTAAAAAAGGAAGGAAGAAAAAGAAACAAAGAACACCCCCCCCAGGCATATTCAAATTGTTTGTTGTGGAAAAATTAACAAGAACGCTAAGCTAGAAAAGCCTGAGTGAGAGGGGAGAAAAGGGTTTTCAACATATTCTAAAAGCCCACAATTGCAAGAGCCTGGCATAATTCAAGATAGAGAACTGGTGCAGCAACACTGAAGGCCCTGTTGCAGGCAAAAATTTGTGGCAGGCCAGAAATATATGAGTTGTGATGTGGATGCTTATGTTTTAGCTGTTCATTTGCTACATCCTTTGTCTGAGGTTATTCTGTCCAGGTGTGAATGATTTTCTTCTATTTGGAACAAGATTTTGGTGCTCTAATTTGCTAGACTGCAGTTGAGAAAACGACACAAAAATGTAATGACCGCTCCCCGCTTAAAACGGGGGGCGACCTTTGCGTGGACGCGCGCAGCCCTGGATCTGGAGCGGCCCCATCAGCATAGGCTTGGCTTTGCCTTCCCTCAGGTGGGATACCTGGAGGTCTCCGCCTACCTCAGTCAGTTGTCCAATCCCACCTGGGGGAAGCGTTGCCAAGGAGACCAGGCCAGGTAGGGGAGGGATTACCTGCCCACACAATAGAGGGAGGATCTTACCTGGGAATCCTCACTTGGCTCCAGAGCTTCTCCCACCCTACCCACCCTCAGTTAATGTCTTCTTTGCAGGTTAACTTTTCTTCATAGGTCTTACAGGTAACTTTTCTTCACAGGGATGCGGGCGCTGCTACGTTAAGGTCGCTGTTAAAGGGCCGGAAAGGAATTTCCCTGCATTGGCAGGTTTCGCCTTTCCCGTAGCAAAACGTCACAACTTTGGCGGTATCAGGCCTTGGGCGGAATCCTTTAGTCCATCTTCCTCTTTGCGGCGGCGATACCAGGGTTCCCCGTTAAAGGGGTTTCTGAAGGGAGGCTTTGACCGTACGCCGAAAGGTCGTCATTGCTCTCCCCTGCGGCGGCGGCGTAACGGGGGCGGCCATCTCTGCTTGAACATATGTTCTCCAGAGCCGGCCCATCCCCCCCCCACTGGATAACCCTGAAGCTCCCTAGGTCCCCGGCTGGGGACTGGGGAGGGAGAATGCCCAATGCCTGAGCCAAGGTCTACCCACATTTGAAATTTAATAAAGTTGTGGCCAATTTGATCCCATAGCACGTTGTCTTGAGTCGTTATTCCACATGACAGGGGGGGACCGCTCGGGATCTGGGGACTCCGCCTGTCCGCGCAAAGAACTGCCTGCATAGTTACCAGCAATTCTGTAGGGAGTGAATTACACATACTTCCTGAATTTGTCAATTGTTGATGTTGATAGTTACTCCAAGCAATGTGAGAATCAAATCAATGACAAATGAACAAGTCTGTGGTTCTGTTATCTGAAGTGAGTACTGTACATTGTTGCACAAAGACATTGTTATTGTGGTGCAGGTCAGGGAGAATTAAATACAACCCAACTTTCTGGGGAGACGCTATGGGAAACCCACAAAGACTATCACCAGGCTAGTATGCGATGAATCTGAAAGAAAATGATACAAGGGCAGACACATTTAATTGTGTCTACATTGATGTTTGTAGTAACACTGTAAGCTCTTAAGACCAAGACGATAAAGCCTGGCCTCTTTCTAAACTTCCAGATAACAGCCCTACAACTCCTATTTCCTTCTGAATGCTAGGCTGTGGCAGACAGAAATAAAATTCTGTGTTGCATTGTCTGTCTTAACATTGCCCTATTCTGAGAATTATTTGAGGTACAGTGGTACCTTGGGTTACATACGCTTCAGATTACATACACTTCAGGTTACAGACTCCGCTAACCCAGAAATAGTACCTCGGGTTAAGAACTTTGCTTCAGGATGAGAACAGAAGTCGTGCTCCGGCGGCATGACAGCAGCGGGAGTCCCCATTAGCTAAAGTGGTGCTTTAGGTTAAGAACAGTTTCAGGTTAAGAACAGACCTCCAGGACGAATTAAGTTCTTAACCCGAGGTACCACTCTATTTAAAATCAGAAGACCATAGGATCCATGATAGTATCAGTGGGATGTGAAAGTGCCTTAAAATTTTAACAGATTGCTTGAAGAATTTGTTTGCAAACATGAAATAAAATCTCTCTCTCTCCCTCTCTCTGGACTTTTGGGCCATTTGAATTGGTGCAAGTGTTTGCATTGTTTTAATACTGGGAGAGTGTTTTATGTACAAAAGGAACAGTATCACGCAGCCAGGATGAGTGGCTTTTTCTGGCAGCAGAGTTTGTTGTACTAGAGGGACAAGAATCAAAAGTGTTCACAGAACAAAGTGCTAGTCGATAGTGGGAGAGAGAAAGAAGACTGGTAGTACCTCTTACAGGCATTTCTGGTATGGTAACTGTTGAAGTCTGCCTTTTAATCCTCATTACCATCTTCTCTTCTTACCCTTTCTGTTATATGGCTGCATTTGGATTCACCGCCACTCCATTTGCACAACAGAACTTCCCCTTCGCCTCCTACAGTGTTATGTATTTCTATATCATAAACTGCCCTGTGATCCTCAGATAGTAAAAATAGAAATATCCTCAAAATCTGCTCCAGAGGATGAGTCCCACTACATGACCAGAATGCTGCTCACACAGCAATGTCCAGGTTGTAGCTGGTAAACATGCAGCCATGCCTGTTTTTTTCTGACATTAACTGTAAGAACACCCATGCTGGGTAAGTGTGAAAGGAATACAGTATTAGAAAAAGGCACAGAAGCACTAGCATTATAAAAAGGAAAATTAACAACATATTTTCTAAGTCTGAATGCGTTCTTAATGGGGTTGCAAATGTTTTCCCCTTGAAGCAATTAACATGGAAATGAGCAATAAACGTCCACTAGATTTCTGAAAGCGGCTTTGACATGTTGTGAAAGCTCAAAACTAATGCAGAGATTAACAGGAGAAGCAGAACAAACTGTCACGTGAAGGCAGCCATAGTTGATTGGGAAGTCTTGCACAACAATCCCCAAAGATCTGACTTTTTGAGATAAGGGAAGGGGGAGAGGGGAAATGCGCCGGAAAGCATGGGAGAACATTCCTTTTGACACATCACCATCTAACCTCCCCACAAACAAATCAGAATGGATACTCATGAAGCAGCCCATGCCTGCTCTTACTCTGAACGAATCTGGATGAATGTTCACAAAGGAAAGGGTCACACCTCAGCGGTACAGCATGCAGAAGGTCCCTGGTTCAACCCACAGCATCTCCAGGTAGGGACAGGAGAGACCATTCCAGACCCTCCAAGTGTCCCTATTATGCAGGGACGATGTCCCTGATTCAGAGAAGCCATCCCGATTTCTGATTTGATCCTAGAATGTCCTGCTTTTCCTTGATATGTCCCTGTTTTCATTGGAGAAATGTTAGAGGGTGTGGAGTTATCCGACCCCCGAGCTGTCTGAAGGCAATCCTGTAAAGGGAAGTTTCTTAAATCTTTAATGTTGTATGGTGTTTTTATAAATGTTGGAGACTGCCCAGAGTGGCTGGGGCAGCTCAGTAAGGTGTGTGGGGTATAAAGATGCTCAGGTTGCGAACGTGATCTGTGCGGGAGGCATGCTTGCAACCCACAGCATTCGCAACCCGCAGCACCGTGTCTGCGCAGGCGCGGGTCGTGATTCGGCACTTCTGTGCATGTGCAAAGTATGATATAGCGCTTCTGTGCATGAGTGAGCACCAAAACCTGGAAGTAACCTGTTCTGGTACTTCGGGGTTTGGCACGGTGCGCAACCTGAAACCGCGTCTGTAACCCAGGGTATGACTCTAGTAGAATTATCATTAAGGAATGGGACGTCGCTATTTTCTTCAGAGAAATGTTGGAGGGTAATGCTATTCCTGCGTCTGAAACACTGCAAATCCACTGCCTGCACCTGAGGACAATCCTGAGCTAGATGGACAGATGGCCTGACTGGGTAGAAGCCAGCTTCCTACGTCGTCCTGTGGCGCCTCAAAGATGAACGCCTTATTGGTTGTGGTGTGTTTGTTTATTTACATAGCTGTCAACTTTTCCCTTTTCTTGCGAGGAATCCTATTCGGAATAAGGGAATTTCCCTTAACAAAGGAAAACGTTGACAACTATGGTTTAGTTATCTACAGTATTTATTTTGGTGGGGCCTCAGGAGAGCATTGCGAATCTCGAAAACGCCACACATTCTTTATCCCTTAGCCTCCGCCTCGCGCGCGCCGTTTCCAAGCCCCCCCCCCCCGCCGGCCCCCTCCTCCTCTTCTCCGGCCCGCTCTTTCCATCCCACCCCCCCCCTTCTAAGATGCGCGCGCCTACACTGGCCTCGGAAGCCTCCTGGCGAGAGGGCGCGCGCGGCGCGCAGGACCCCTTCAGGGCCACGGCGACGGCCGAGGCGGGGAACTCCGGCAGGCCGGAGGGAGGGCGCTGACGATTGGCCGGCGCGAGGGCGAAGGAGGGAGGGAAGGAGGGAGGCGTTTTGGAGGCGGCCGGCCCGGCTGCCGCTGCCGCCGCCGCCGCCGCGTCCAGGGAACATGCAATGCAGTGCAGTGTAGCGCAGTGGCCGCGCCTGGGCGCTGCTGGGGCAAGGCGGGCGTCTCTTTTCGGCTCTGTGTACAAACGCGCGGGCTGACCCTGATTGGCTGAAGGAAGGCAACAACGGCCGGGACGCGGGCTCGGGGGTCGCCAGAGTCGCCGCGGCTTCTCCCGCCCCCTGCTCCTCCTCGCCTCCTTCTCGCGTGGGTCTCGTGAGCGACTCGCCGACCAGCCGCTGCTGAAAGGGACTGTGGCTAGGGGCGCCTCCCGCTCCCTCAGCCGCTGCCGCTGCGCGCGACCCTCGCGCGGAAAATGCTGCCTCCGCTCTTCGGAGCCCCGCTTGGATAATTCCTCCCCATGTACTTGACCTCGCCGCCGCCGCCGCCGCCGCTCCTTAGGCCGGGTAAAGGATGCTGCCCTGGCCGGTGGGAGGCTGTGACCAGGGGATCCGCGCCCGCCCGCTCGCCTCCCGTCCCGGCCCTGGGGACTGCTGTCCCTGCCTCGGCTACTAGCTCCTTCGGCGAGCGATGACTTCGAAGCACCAGGCGGACTGGATCCCTTACAGGTAGGGCGCCAGGGCGGGGGCTCTGCTGCGGGCGCCCCCTTCACCAAAGTGGGCAGGAGAGGGGAAAGAGGTCCAGCAGGGGAGCAGCCCCGTCTGCAGCAAAGTTGTTGCCCTTTCAAAGAAAAGAAAAGGAAGGGAAGGAAATTGAGGGGTGCTCTGCCTTGTTTTCACGAACCAGGTTAGCCCACGATCATTTTGGGGAGTGGAGGACGGCAGATCGTGTTGTTTAGGGAGGTTGCTATGAAGGAAGCGCCTCATTGTAGGATAACAGGCTTCCTGAATGAATGAAAGTCGCGCACAGCCATTCTGTTTTACAATCTTGGTATTTTGCAGGCATGAGCGCTGTGCTTGTGAAATCTCTTCCTTTGAAAACATGAGATCCAGATAGGCAAAACTATGTCGAAGGCAATTGCTCACCCCCTTCTTGGATTAGGGGGTGTGCTAATAAAACTTCTTTTTAAGACCAAAACAGGAGGTGAGCTGCATTGCTGTCTTTGTATGATAGCAACACTGATTTTTCTTTTTGGTAGTGTTTCAGGTTTATGATAAGTAACTCAAATTCTAGGGTGGGCAAGGGCATTCCTTCCTCTATTCTTCTGTTTCTCTCAAGTTATTAACAGGAGTGACTTATGTACTGGGGTAGAGTGATATCTCAGACTTATCCATTGAAATCCACTCTTTATGTTTTGTTCTGGTCTTCAAATTTAGCTGGGTGCTTTAAAGACATATTTATAAATTTTAAACTGTTGCAATATTCCCAACAGCTGTGAAAATGCTTTTTATTTTTCGTAACTCTTCAGTATGAAATCTTATTTGTTTTGGTACATGTGGAACACTTACAGCTATAAAGACAGCCTTGACTTTAATGCAAAATCCTTCTTCATCATTTGCCGTGAAATGCAGGTGCCAGCTCCTGTTTTGTACCTGGAGTTCACTTCTGCTCTGTTAATAGTGCCTTCTTGACGAGATTTCATTAGAGGCTCATTCCTACTCTTAAATCACTTCCATGTGCAATTGCATGAAACATGCATTGTATGTAAACATGCATGTATGTACTTTCACAAGTGATTAATGCACAAGTGCCTTTCGTGCCATGTGTATCATTGGCAGTAAGCCACTGCAATTCATGGCTCTCCACAAATTGCACATGGGTTACATGACATTACCTATTATGTGGAAGTGATCTCTGTTCACTGCAGAGTGAAACTAGCTTCCAAGTACAGTGGTACCTCGGGTTACAGACGCTTCAGGTTACAGACGCTTCAGGTTACAGACTCCGCTAACCCAGAAATAGTACCTCGGGTTAAGAACTTTGCTTCAGGATGAGAACAGAAATTGCACGGCGGCGGCAGCGGGAAGCCCCATTAGCTAAAGTAGTACCTCGGGTTAAGAATACTTTCAGGTTAAGAATGGACCTCCAGAACGAATTAAGTTCTTAACCCGAGGTACCACTGTATAGGGCAAAGAACAAGGAACTTAGCTGTCCACGCAGGGCATTTTGTCTTGTATGAAGCAGCCCTTACTGGATGAATAGAAGCACAGATCATGAACCTATTAAATAAAAAGGTGAAGTTGGAGAAGGAATTGGGGAAATTTTGCTGAGAGATAGGCAGCCAGAGTTTTACATCTTTGCTTGATTTTGTTTTTAAAGTCTGTTTTTGCAACTTCGGTGCATAAATTGATTGGGGGAGGGGATAGTGCGGTAATTTCTTGCATAAGGCATCTCAAATATTTCTCCTCCCCTTCCTCTTGCCCTCCTCTTGTCTATCCATTTCCCCTTACAGAATACACACAGCGTGGACTGTGCAGCAGCTTGGCAGTCAGTGTTAGCTGCTCTCCCATATTCTCCTGCTGCTGCTCTTGCTGCCATGGAGAAGAGCAGGGATCGCCATGGCAGCACCAGCTGCTGTTGCCTGTCATTGGCTCCTTGGTTGCCATAAGCTACCAAAGCCTCTTTCTGGGGAAGTTTGTGCGTCAAACTGTGGGGGGCATTGCCTGTCACTCTGGGCTAGATCCCCTGTTCCTCTTGCCTGCTAATGAAGCAGGGAAAGTAACAGGGCTTTAGGGGAGGTATAGACAAGGAGCAGAGTGGCAAGGGCTTGAAGATCTTTGTTTGTGCCGGGAATCCAGTAGTAGTTTGAAGTTGATAAAAGTTGAGAGTACAGTTTTGATGGACACAGGATTATGTTGGTAGCTTAGTTTAGAAGGTTAAGTTTATATTTGCTTCATTGCAGCATTGCATTTGATTTCCTGTGAAGTGGGATTTCTAGGTTTGTCTGAACACTTTGGTTATAGGAGGGACATACACCATTTGTAAACCTCTGTAATATTTTTAATGACTTTGTGGCAGGGGTCAGCAAACTTTTTCAGCAGGGGGCTGGTCCACTGTCCCTCAGACCTTGTCGGGGGCCGGACTATATTTTGAAAAAATAATAATGAACGAATTCCTATGCCCCACAAATAACCCAGAGATGCATTTTAAATAAAAGCACACATTCTACTCATGTAAAAACACACTGATTCCTGGACTGTCCACGGGCCAGATTTAGAAGGTGATTGGGACACATCCGGCCCCCAGGCTTTTGTTTGCCTACCCATGCTTTGTGGCTTATAAATAAAATGGTATTTTGTCTCTCTTTTTTGCAATGAAAGAAAATTTGTAATTAGATAACTCCTTGGGCTGTCAATGTTTGTTTTTAAAACACATACTTGCCAGATGCGTCATGTGGCCATAGTTCTTATGTACTGTTCTGCATGTTCTGATAAGTTTTCAATTGGACTACTGTAATGCACTATTTGTGGGGCTGCCCATGAAGGCAGTATAGAAACTTCATTTGGTCCAGAATACAATGGTCAGGCTGGTGATTGGTAATAGCTGACAGGAGCATTGTCCCACCAATGCTGCAGAAGTTCCACTGGTTGCCAGTTTATTTTAAGGTTAATGTCTGACTTCTGGATCTTATATAGTTCCGTACAGCCTGGGTCAAGGATTCTCCTCTCATGCTCACACTGAGGCCTGATAATCATAGAATCATGGAATTGTAGAGTTGGAAGGGACATCCGGGATTATCTACTCTAAGCACCTGCAGTACAGGAATATTTCGCCTAACGTACGGCTTGAACCCACGACCCTGAGATTGAGTCTCATGCTCTGCCAACTGATAAATCTTTGCTGCAGGCATCGCCTCCTTCAGAGGCTTGATTGTCTTCCACAATCAATAGTCAGTTCTCTGCTGCCACCCTTAAGCTATGAAATTTTTAATGTAAAGCTGCAAATCACTGCCCACTTACCTATGCATAAGTCCCACTGAACTTAATTTTGCTTACCTTTGTGCAATCATATCTATAGGGCTGCACGTCACAGCTTTCCTTCCTAAACAGCTTTTCCTTTCCAAATGTGGGAATGTGGTTTAGACTACACTCCCTGCTGTTCAGATAATGCTGTTAATTTATTATGTATTTTTCCCCTTGGGTTTTTTAAAATGGCGTTGCCGTTTATTTGTTATTAAAATTGTTTTTTGTTATGGGAACTCATTAGAGTTGAAGAGCAGATTACAAAGTAACAGAGCCTGCAATCCAGTACACACACTTGAAAGTTAGTCCTACTGAACTCAGTGAAGCTTACTTCAAAGTAATAAGCTTTGTATGAGCAGGCTTGTAATATGAAAACACATTTTTTGCACCGATGGCAGGAAAACATACTGAAAATTAAAATTGTCCTGAGGGTAACTTGTGTGCATTTCTCCATTTTTCTTTGCTATACTAGGTCTTGTGTGTTTCGTTTAACTTTTTAAAATTAAAAAATACACATTAATGATGTGCATGTTTAATTGAAGGCTGAATCATAACTTTTCTGAACATGCTTTGTATTTCAGTAAAACGCTTCTGTTTGCACAGCAACTTAGAGAAAGTATTTCCCCTCAAGTACTGCACAATTTTATGGGAAACCTTACAGCCATTTTAGTGTTTCCTACAGGGAGAGGATGAACTTTAAATGCATGACAGACAAATTGGTTCACAGCATGTAGTAAAAATAAGCAGGGGGTGGCGAAATCAAAGATTGTAACATGCTATTTGTTGTTGCTTTTTGTGAAAAAGGAAATGCATATTGATCTAACACACAAGACCCACGGCATGGGCTGAAGGCTCAGGATGGAACAGCCTTGCTGAAGTGAATGAGGTTTGGGTCTAGGAAACTCTCTCTGTATGCCACCTTGAGCTCCTTGGGGGAAAGGCAGGATGTAAACAAACATTCCTGCTAACTGGTAGTTGAAAAGTTGTTACAGAATGTCTAAGAATGCAACACCACCACTGACTCTTGGAAAGCATTTTTGTGCGTATGCAGATCAGGCAGAGAACAAAGAACTCCAATTGCTTTCTCTCTGTCCTTCTAAAGATTTGCCGAAAGATAAGCAGTTGTGGTGGGAATAACAGCTATGCCATCACTCAGGCAACCTATCAACTGATGCCAAGGTTTTGCATGGGGCTTTGTAATATTGTGCAAGGGAGGCAGTGCTTCATCTTCATTTCCCCGTGAAAAGTAATCCTTTTGTCTTCTCTGCGCTGTGCACATCAAAGAAATGGAGCCTTAAATGAACGTTCTTATTATTTGCCTCTCTTTGATCTCTGTCACTGTCTCTCCTTTTTAAAATGCACATACCTTACAGCATAGTAGCCTGCAGTGACTTAAAACTAACGCAATGGGTTCTTCTGAGTGCTTATTTTATGTTATTATACTCTCAGTCCCAAACTGCCTTCACCAATGAAACGTTGACTTTCTTTTTCCATTCTAGTGGATTAAAGGCTGAATTATAGCAGATGCAAACTGTTTATAGGTTTTGATAATTAAGTGGTATATAAATCCTGTTAAATATATATATACATATATTTAAAAACAGTTGATGCCTTTAGATGGCTGTGATGAAAAGAAATGCACAGTCAGGGATGGAGTAGGGTAGTTGAGGTCCATGAAGAGCATCTTCTTCCCTCTCTGTGCCTTACCTGAAGTGGCATTTGAAACTGGGTAATTTCAAAAGTGGTCCAAGATTTGCCATTGGGGTCTGCTGCTCAAAGAAAATCAGTTTCCATTCCCAAGCTTCGCAGGTGTGCCTAAATGAGGTTCTTTAACTCTAAACCAACATATGTGCTGCAGTAAGTACTGAAAATTCAGGATGTGTCCATGGAAGCTCTGTCTTCTGAAATACTTCCTCTGTTAAAAGCCTGCACTGATCCATTAGTGTTGTGGGTGGGCAGGTAAC